AAAACCCTGTAGAGGGCTTGCGATATGGTCATTTTGAGTAAAGCTGCCATGAACTGTTGCAGTTGCAGTAGTATCCCTATTTAATTGTGTCAAACAGTATGTAAAGCTTTCCGCAAGGATTTCGTTTGGTCTATCTGTTCTTAACTCAGAATTAGAGTAGTTGTTCACAAACAAGATAAAATGTTCGCCCCCTGATAAGCCTACAGTGATGTGGTCACTGGAGCTCTATTTTCTCTCATAAGATGAGCTTGGGGCCTATCTGTAATTTTTCAGAATGGTCGACATACTGTCCCTTAAGAGATGAATGGATATAATTGCTTTGTAATGTCTCTACATAGATATAGCTGTGTACGTTTGATGCTGCATGGCGCAGTGCAAAAAAAAAATGAATGTCCAGTTCTAACACCCCACCCCCAGTTTTACCTTCACCTTCCAGTTGGATTCATCTTCACCTTTTCATATTTTTTCCTCTGATTTTGTCAACCCCATGACATTGTGGTCACATTGGAATTTCAGGCAAGATTTCTCAGTTGTATTTCTCTTGCTATAATTGTGTACTGTGTGCAAAGCCCATTTCTGGTGTCCTCAGACGTGGTCTTGCAGCAATATCACTCTCACTCATTCACTCACTCACTCTTTTGAAATAAAAGAATTAGAATACAAGCATCATGTGTTGGTCAATTTCCGGGTGTTATTGGGTATTTTAGCACGGGAATACATTTGGTACCAACGGCATCAGCTGGAGGTTTCAAATGAAATACGCATGATAAGTCCACCTTTTATACTTTGATTACACATATCTAATAAGCTTGGTTAAAGGGAAAACGAAATATACCTCATTTTCAACTCATCAAATCCAAACAAAGTTCACTTTTTGGTAGGGCCTTATATGTAAAAGAAAACAATTTCTAGCGGTTTCTATTTCAGCTTTAGCTTTGCTTTGATATGCTAATCCATTGGGGGCATTCAAGCTCATTTATCACTGTCAATGGAACCTGGAAAAAAGATAGCAATCCTTTTTAAAACTCACATGGCCCTGTTACAGGTCCACAAAAATCTTTGCTTATGGATCAGAAATGAGAAAAATGCCAGTTATAATGGACTGCTTTGCATGCAAAAGCAGCAAGAAGCAGTATTTTACGTCCTTAGTTTACTATCTGACTGGAATACGAGACAACCTAACGTTGAGAAGTATTAGATTAGGCAGCACTTGAGTGATGAATGTGCATTTAACGAGTTACCCAGGGTCCCCCCTCCCACTAGATCTCCTCTTCCACTTTGAATATGATGTGGAGATTAAGTGATACCTCTCATGCACAACACAATAGATGGACCTGCTGCCAGATGGGTTTGGTTTGCATTGGAGGTTATTTTTGATGGATTAACTTTGGAAAACGAAACACTGACATGACATTGGTTGGGTTAGGTTGTACTGGTTCTGGGATTTCATGGCAACACAAACATAATGTTAATGGGGATATATTGCATGTATCCTTTCTGTTTGATGCAGATAGATACAAGTAGGTACATGGAGGGTCCAAGATCGAGTTGGGTATTGGCTGACTTTTTGTAATAATGATTCTTGCATGACATGTGAACACTGTTTAGTAACCTTTGATTTTCAGTTATTGGTTTTTTCTTCCCCACAAGGGCAAAATGTAAAACTAAACTCATTTTTCTTTGACAACTCTTCATTTTTGGTTGTAGCTCCGGTTTGATGATATGATATTGCTGGAATATTGCTAAAAGCGGCGTAAAATCATACTCACTCACTCACTCACTCACTTACATTTTGACAACTTTCTAGTTGTGCTCCATTTTGTTTGATGATGCTGTAGTTGTGAAAAGCTTTGCTTTTCTGATCAGAAGAATAACTTAGTAATTTCTAATTTCATTATTTCAATTTTACTTGTTGCTTTGGTAAACTTTGCCAACAAGATGAAAATATTTGTGATTTTCAAAACTGTTATATATACCAGGATATACCTGTTATATGTATTCCAAACACATTTTCATGCAAATCCATTTGTGTTTAAAATCATGGCATTTGGTAGTAGACAGTCAATACTGCACACCTCCAAATAAGTGTGATTTTGAAAGAATTTTCCTAACCTATTGTGGAGGTGGTGGAGTAGCCTAGTGGGTAAAGCATCATTGAAGTCGCACACAGCATTGGGGTAACCTGATGGTTACAGTGTTTGCTTGTCACGCCGAATGCCTGGGTTCGATTTCCACATGGGCACAATCCAGAATCTGTATTTTCACAAGCTCTTTTCGTCCCTAACCTTCAGTCCAGACTGAATCATGATTGGCTGACAGCTGTGATTGGGTGATTTTGTGTAAGATTTTTGTGTTTTTGAAATGTACATCCATCCAGTAATTAAATCTGACCATATGTTTTAATATTTAGTGATTTGTGTTTTTACTGATGACCTGCACTGAATGTGACCACAGGTATTTTCAAAGAGTTGACATTTTGCGCGGAACTGAGGTTATTCTGTTCAGCTTCCTGTACTCGGAAAAGGAACATCGTGAGGTGTTCATATTTTATATTTTCATTGCTTTTTAAGGCCAGACTATAAACAGATGTACATATAGCTGTTGATATCTTAGTTAATTTAAAAAGAGAAAAGAAAAAGATAACGTTACTATAAAATATATGGTTTTGTGTAACCTTTATGATTCCAGCCCCATCTGTACCAGTGATGACTGTTCCATAAGAGGTCTGAATCTAATTTGTCTCATGAACTTTACTGTCTGACAACATTGTGTGAAAGAGATGCTGTCTAACAATGCGAGGTCATACAGGCAAACACATAAGACAAACTCCATCGTTAGATGCATAGATTTCATGGAAATTGGCCATGGTGCAGTCTGAAGGTTGTGTTTGTGCATCATAACCTGCATTTGATTCCCCACGTAGGTACGTGAAAAACCCATTTCTGTCTCCCATCATGATATGGCTTGAATAATGAATATGGCTGAAGGTGATGTAGAATCCTGCTTAACTCTCTGATGAAGAAACACTATGTAAAGGGAATGTTTTGATATGGTGGAGCTGGAATGTGCTGTTGTGCAGCATTATCATGTTTTTGATAACATGGTAACACCTCGAGCAGGATGAAAGGCCTGGATGGATTAACATGGGAGCAATTCATCATATGGGAATTGTAGAGGACTAATGTTTTATATTACCAACTCCAGACGGACCACAGATGTTGTGATCAGTCTGTCTGGAAAGAATCATGTACATTAGCTTAATCCTGGCGCTATAGGTTTTTAACAGGTTATTTCATTAGTTATTTCATGTTATGTGCAGCACGTAGATGATTATATTCATAGATTTATGCTCCATGTACATGAAGAGGTTTGTGATAAGCCTCATGATGTTTTTCCAGTCGTTACGTTAATCACGTATTCATTTCTTTGAACTCTCCGAAGTAATTATGTGCATGTTTCATGGTCTTGTGGGTATTACTGGCCTGAACAGGTGCCCAGTGGCCCATTCTTGTTGTAATAGCCGTCAGATGAGTATCATTACAATGCATGACCTAACCCTAATGGCGGAGATCATTGCTCAAGCAGTCACTCATTGGTCTGGCTGGACCAAGATTGTTGGGGCTGCTGTGATAGAATTTGAATATCACCCTCTCCCGTATGTAACAGCAGTATTCAGTGAACATTTACTGAGCATTTTTTAAACATTCACCCATCTGTCACTCAATGTTTAGTCATCAGTCATTCAACATCCATCCGCATTTACACAACATTCACCTAACACACTATATTTGTCCACATAAGATAAAGAGTGTTCTGACTCAGAAAAGTTATCAGTATTGAATATGTCATAAGAGCTACTTGAAGTGGTGACTCTGTTCCTGATGCTTGCTTTACGAGCAGCTGGAGTGATTCTGAGTCAGAATAGACACCTTGTTCCTGACACTTGCGTTAAGAGTTGACTCAAGTGGTGATTCTGGTTCAGAATAAACACCTAGTTAACATATGGTCACACAACAGGAATATTCCTGACTTTTTAAAACTTTGACATATAACATATACTCTGTGCTGTGTTAAGTGCAACATACTAAGGATTGGGAGTAAGATTAACCATAAGGCAATTCCACTTTAGAGGTAAGGAAGTATGTTAAAGTGGAACACGTGTAGCAGTCGTAAGAGAACATGTGTGTATTGCTTAATGATTTGTGTTTGTTCACAAGCTTGGTGCAGTACTTGAGAAGACATATTTATGATGCTTCTTCATTAAGTATTCAAATTTGGCATTTGTGCTGTTGCTTTGTGGCTTTGAATATTCTCTTATAAGCAGTTATGTTAAGAGACTGAAGTGAGGATTGATTGGTTTCTGAAAGAGTTATAGAACACTTTTATGGATTCAGGTTTAGAGTACCATCTTGTTGGCGAGGTGTTTCATATATAACAGCTCTCAGTGTGCTCCAGATAGGTTGTTGAAGATGATAGCAGAGTTCAAATGGGTGTACAACATGTTCAAGATAATCAGAGACATTCTTGGATGAAACAGAAGTCTGTATGATTCCATTCTCCCATCACTGAATCATGTTTTACTTGTACTGTAATAATGCTGAAATAACTCTTATACCAGTGACGTTTGTTCAGTGTCATTAAGTCAATTTTTGTGTGGTATAGTTATTCCTAATCACTATACTCAGTTAATATAAAGCAAATATGATACTTTTAACACCATAGGTGGATGTTTGACATCAGTGAGTGAGTGAGTGAGTGAGTCGGAGGTTTTATGCAGCTTTTAGCAAAATTCCAACAGTATACCTGAAATAGACTTTGTTCATTGTACCCATTTCAGGGATCAAACCCAGGCATTCGGCATTACAAACAAACACTTTAACCACTAGGCTACCTCACTGCCCTGTGTGACGTCAGTGATGATAGTGGTTAAAGTGTTATCTTATAAAGCTGTGACTTTAGTAACCACTCCCTAATCTTCACACAATGCTGGTATTTTCCAGACACAAGATCCGTGTTCCGATGTTTGTTCCTGAGTCATCCTCCCCTCTACAGAAGTTGACCAGTTGGTTCCTCGGTCGCCGACCTGAATACGTGAACCCCAAGGTTGTGGCACAAGGTGAAGGTCGGGAAGGTAGGTACACTTGCATCATGTTTCCATCTTGTCAAAGCTTTGAATAGATACTAAGCAAACTGTGGACAAGTTGAGTTAATCAGAGGTTTCCAACCTCTCCGAGACTGCCGATATTGGCAAAAGAAGAGCTGCTATTTCTTCTATAGGGCGAGATAAGCCTAATTTTCTCTTCTGTGCAATTGTAAAGGCCTGATGCAGGGGGCTGAATGATGGACCTAGCACTTGATTATGTCCTGTGCTGGTATGAAAGGCACCATTGCATTTGGCATATTAGACGGAGAAAAATATTTGAAGAGGCATCAAGGGTACCAATGTGAGGTCGGAAGTTAGAACCACGCCCATTGTCGTATTTGTCATTTCTATCACACTGGGACAACGAACATGAAAATGACGATGGGAAGTTATTTCTTGTGTTGACATTTGAAAGTTGTATATTGCAGTGAGGATATTGAAATGGCGATGGTTTATGTTGTGACATTGATTGGTGATAAAACTACAAGCTTTGTGAGTGACAGGAGCACAATATTCCATGGAGGATCAGGGTTTTCACGATTGCTATGAATGAGATATTTACACAGCCTTGACAGGCATGTCTTCAGATTTTGATTTGCAACAAGGAATTTTAATTTCTTTGATCTTGAAGAAATATGGATTGTTGCACAGGTAATTGGATCTGTATGTTATATCAGAGACGTTTGAGTGATTGCATTGAATTAATTCCAGTGTATTGTTTAATTCTAGTGAATTGTTATCTCTCTCCAATATGTTTGGACATGGACACACTGTCACCGGTTGACATTTTCATGTTCATCGTATTCACAGCTTAACTGGCATAATTCTTGCATTGATTAATGAAATATGGATTTGGAATGCGAGATATTTCAAGATTACCTTGATGTTTATGTTTCATGTTTTGATTAACATGAAAGGGGAATATCTGGGGGAATATTTTGATTGATGCAGAAATTGCGTTTGTGTTTAGTATTCATTTTTCATTGTCAGTCATAGTCATTAAAAGGCAGATACTTGACTCAGAAGTTAGTTAGTTTGTGAGGGCTCGTCCTCAGTTCCTTCTTTTACACACACTCTCACTTTGATTGATAATGATTATGAAGTGTATTCCATCAGAATTTTATTTCTCTGGAATTCAAAGGATGAAATGTAATCTACAAGCAAACGAGGAATGAAATTATGTTGGGGTAAAAACTGGTTATTTGATGTGTTGAGTATGTTTTTGTTATGAAGTTTGGGACAGAGTTGAGAAGGGAATTTGCAACCTTTCCCCCGTTGTTGGTGTTTCATCTAAACCGATCCCAGCGTGGGAATGAAATTTTAAAATTGCCAGCAACATGGAAATAAAACTGATGAGGAATTATGTACAGGATATGAATACCACTAATGACTACATTGTCAGTATTGACTCAGGGTTGGGAAGGTCAACACCAAGCAAAGATACCATTGACCACCTTAATTACTTGACAAGAGCAGCTCTCTCTAAGGACCTTGGTAATGTTTCCTTCAGCTTGGAGTTTGTGCATGGAGTAAAAGCGCTTTGCTACATGAATGGCTTGTTTGTTTTTGAGGATTAGTGTGGATTTATTGAAGTGATGTTTTATTTAGACTCTTATTAGTTGGGCTGCCTTGACATGACCCAAAAGATGTTGATAATTATGTTAAAAAGGGGAACTTGTAGTAGTAAATATGTATTGAAATATGTGTTCGTTTAGTAATGTTTATGCTGTAAATAAAAGCTACCAAATCCTTTTCATATCCACAAGAAATCTCACTAAGAGTTGATTTTAAGATTTTGACTATATGATGCATGTGTTTATTAATTACTGTCAAATAGTGATGACACCTTGTGTTTGTGAAAAGGTGAGCTTATCCTGCGGCGAGGATGGGTCTTATCATAAACACATACATATAATAAACAAAGCCAACGAATTGTTCACCTGAATAAATTGGGGAATGTTCTGTACAAGTCGAAATAGAAAATTGCGTTTCATTTTTTGTCACAGTGCTTAAATTATTACGTCATACTGTAACCGATACAATCTCCCTGAAGAGTAAAAGAACAAAACATGTTGGAGAAAAAGGCATTCTGTTTTTATTTATCTATGTAATATTTATGACATTGTACTATTTTGGACATTTTGTTCGTATATACACACACACACACACACACACACACACACACACACACACACACACACACACACACACACACACACACACACACACACACACACACACATATACACACATATATACACACACACACACACACACACACACACATATATATATATTTATGAAACCTAATTTAACATGGACAAGGTGCAACCCGGTCATACACCGGCAGCACACTTGTGATTGGTGGTTTTCAAAAAGTGGTATACTCTTGATCGACGCTTGCGCCAGCGTAATCCGCCACCTCAGACACTACAAGAACTGCACACAGCACATCAGCAAGAGTATCAAAACATTCCTAAAGTCAGCATTCGGCATCTCCTTTCTTCTATGGGTCACCGTTACTCTGACCAAGTGTCTTTAATAGCCCACTGTGTTTTTTTCCAAACACTTTCTGGATACTCATGTCTTGGAAATTTGTAAAGTGATGATTTTACTGTAACTGGGCAACGATGTAATGTTTGAATCAGTTATATACAATCAGTAAGTAAACTCCAAAACAGTATGTCAAGTTTCTTTTTTTGAAGAGTATATATCAAGTGCAATAAAAGTGAACTTGAGTAAACCCCATTTCTCTTCACCTACTTTCATCTGTACAAAGACATAACTAAACCTCAGCGTGACAACCAACGCATCGAATCAATAAAAATAGAAACGTCAAAAACCCTTTCCACATCCAAAAGAATTCTCTAAAAGCAGTCGTTTGAACAATTCTGACTTCTTCATGAGTGTATGTTTGTTTGACGCGTGGTTAAAGAATCGAGTCTTGACCAGACAATGCAGTGATTGACACCATAAGAAACGATGACAGAGCATGTGTTTATGTATCACCATCAAAAGGTGATGATACCAGGTGTTTTGACGACTACTCAATGCAATATATTTTAAAACATAAAATCGATTCTGCTTTCCATTAAGATTAATGTTTGTCATAGAATGAGAAAATCAGTACCTAATGCCGGAAGTACTGTCTAAATCTGTCTGTTTAAATGACGCTGTAATGGTATTCACCTGAAGATCAGTAAGAAATATGTCAAATATAGAACTATTGGCTTTATTGTAAACACATTAAGCTCGTTCGTTCGCAGTAGACACGCATCCTTTGTTCATCTTTTAATACTAAGTCAGCTTCTTCTACGTCCATCTCACAAATATATGCAAATACCTGATTTTAAACCACGTGTTATCAGCCTACTGCACAGTTTAATGATTGATCTGTTTTTGTCAAAGTGGGAGATGGAACGAAAGTCCCTTAAAATGTCAAGGCCAAATCCAGGATAATGGAATTATTGAATAAGCTATTCGTAAAAGATGCCAAAATAGTCGTTGAGATATGACAAATACTGACAGATGATCAACGTAGAATCTAATATTTCATTGTTTCTTTGAAATGTCACAGAAGAATCATTGACTATTTCATTGAAATGTCTGAAAGGAATTTTTTATTGACGTTAATATCTTGATAAAAGCCGCAAGTAATAGCACGTAATGTAACGAAGATCTATATATGTGTAAGGTTAAATCAGATCAGCGTCAAAGACCGTAAACCCTTAAATAGACTTTACCTTGGCTTCTTCCATATTTACTTCCAAGGCGGTATTCACGACAAGATGGCACTAACGTAATTTACTTTTACAATACCACACTGGAGTCACAAGGAAGAGCTAATTAGAACAGAAACGATCAGAAGAATAACATTGGGTTAATTGTATATAAGGATGTATTATCTAAAATTAATAATGGAGTATTCGCGTTTCATAGTATGAGATTACAAAGGTCTTAAAATGCAGCCCTGTCGTACTCGAATATTACGCTCAAACATCACGAAATGAAGTATTCGATATCACTCTTGATTTGACATGCTCATAAATGCACGTTAATTCGACTTTGTTTCACATAACCTCCATGTGCACCAAAGTGTCTAAAATGATTATGATTATGATACGATGACATGTGTCAATCAGGTCAGCGAGCCTGACCATCCGATACCGTTAGTCGCCTCTTACGACACGCATGGGTTACTGAAGATCAATTCTGGCCCGATCTTCAAGGGTCCAGAAAGGAAGAGGGAACGGAATTTAGTGATCAGGTTCGCTGACTTGATTGGTGCATCTAATCCCAACTGCGAAAGTCGATGCCCATGATGTCAGTCCCTGAGTTGTCTGATCCATCCAGACATACATAGACACATTCAGACATAAATACATATAGACGAAACAGGCAGGTTGTGAAAAGCATCATCCTTTCGCAAAGGCGATCCAGCCGCCGTCCATTACCTGTTTTGTATTTCCTAAACTCTGTTTGTTATTCCTGTCGTGCATACTAGTATCTACCACTTTGGTCAGTGAAAGGCACCGTATGCTTCTACAGGATGCTCACTTTGGTTCAATCGATGACTTAACACCAACACCCATTTGTCCCAAATAATGACGCCCATCATAAGGAGACCAGGTAGATTGACTCATCCAGACTCGATTGTACAATTATCCGAAAAACTATTGGATGGAATAATGCTTACCGTGGTTGATGACAAACATTTCAAATCAAAGTACACTTTAATATATATAAACGAATGCGTGTTAACGGGAATGTAATTTCATTCAAGAAAGGACAATGGTGACCATTTTCACTTTATCTGGAGACTGTTATTAGTCGAATGCTTGAACCCAATACCTGCATACACTTGTGTTTTGATCCTGACAGAAATCCAGGGTTATGGACGCTCCCCATTGTATTCGATAAAATAATTGTAAAACATTTAGACGTGCATTGGTCATAAGCAGCCATCTTTTGTTAATAACACCCATGTTGATGGGTTCCACCGAAGTGTTGAATGTCTGGGATCTTTATCACTTCTGGCTATCGTCTCACG